GACCTAGTGCAGGTACGTGAATGTGCACGCGACCGGAAACTCGCTCCCAAGTTCTCTGGCTGTTTTCGCGTTGTCGAACTCGGACCCAACGGCGCTAACGCGGTGCGCATCGCGCCTGAGGCTAGCGCCAGCCTGAGCCATAGCTCCGTTCCCATCGTAAGACATACCTTCTACCTCCGTCTCCTTCCTCCTTCCGATTTTCCTCCCTCTTCTTCCTCGGAAAGCGAGGAAAACGACGACGTTGTAACCCTCTCTCCTCTTTCTCCCTCTTGTCCCTCGTCCTCCTCTCCGACCTCGCCATGAGTTTCATCACGGAGCTGGTTCTCGACGCACAGCTGCAGCAGCCACGAGGCCACATCTCAGGGATCCGGCAAGTTTGTCACCCTCGGCTCAATACGGATCTCTGCCGTTTGATGCGATTCTTCTGCGAGAAAGGTATCTGTGCCGCCGCCGCATTTCGGATAAAAGGAAACCCTCACGCGATAGTGTTCGTGGAGGTTACTATAGTTCATCGGCGAGCGGGTCCCAGAACGAGCCACATCACCACAGTGGCAGGATTCACCGGCGACCTCAACTCGGTCAATCCGTTGCGGCATACTGCGATCTTGGCCTCGCTGCGCGAGTGGACGGAGCAAGTGTCCAACGTGTGGCAGCACGTCCTCGCCCGGGAGGAGTATAAGGTCATCCCGATCTTTGCATCGGATCTTGACGGTATTCGCCGATCACCGCGCGAGCGGCCAGTTGCGATCCCGACCATCGTCCCCTTCCCTCGTCCCCAATGAACCACGCTGCTCGTGTCGCTCCTCTCTCTACCTTTGGTCTCCCCTCTCTCTTCCCCACCTTCTGGCAATCCGATCTTTACCCTTCTCTTTCCTTCTCGTTCGAGCCTCTTTCAGTCCCTCTTATCCATCCTGGACATTGGCGATTGTGGCGCGAAACTTTTGAGGAGCTGTCCTTTTGCTTGACCAGAGTACAAGTGAAGTGGACGGGCACTATCGAGCACCCCACATGGATCGAGAATCCGGAGCTGCTGATCATACAGGGTTGGAGGACTAACGCGGAAGGAGATCTTATTGGATTCCTCTTTGGATCGGTACGACCAGGTCGCCGTCAGTTGATCGCACAGGAGCTCATCGCACCGATCGTACAATTGGCGGACGATCTCTTGCCCGACATCTACTTTCAGAGCGACAACAGTCCTGCTCCGTACATTTTCGAGCGATCCTTGGATCCGTACCTTCAGTGGACTTCGTGCTTAGAGGAACCTAAGGACGAGGATACCCTACGATCGCGGCAAGAGTATCTGAAGCCGTACGAGATCATCCCTTATGCCTTCTATACAAGATCCAGGAAGAGAAACGCAAAAGATAACAATCCGCAACAAAGGCGCATTCGCCGTTAATTCCAATATGGCCCCGGGCCAATCAACTCAACATCGATCCTCATACCCGCACCGACGATCCCGACCGTCGCGTGCTAACTCCCACCACTGCGATCGTCACCCAGCTGTTGTAAACTCGACATGGTTCACCCAGATCCCACAGTCCGTCGTGGCGATCCAGCGCGCAACTGGCAAGTCTATCGTCAGCCCGACAGGACTTTCCGACTCGCTTCAAATACTCTGCCTAGCCACTGCTTCCCGGAAGTTGGCTTGAGAGTTGAGAACGTAAGAGAGCTTTGCGGACGAGCTTGCGGGTTTTATAGTTGCGACAGGGGAGATAGGAGGGGGAGAAGGCGACAGGAAAGCTGAGGTGTAAGAGGAGAAGCAGGAGGAGAAAACTTTGAGAAGAGTGCTCTACAAACGCCATGCTGATCCCTCGGAACTCAAGATTCAACCAATCAGATTCGTCGCGCGATAGGAAGGTCTTGTCGATCCACGCACCTGATTGGCGAGCGGGAGTTATCGGGGGATCGACCGGGCGTCGTACGGCAGACTTAGAGGGTGAGAAGAGAAAAGGTGCGAGAGGTGGCGCAAGACAGGTCCAAGATTCAGATGATCAAGAAAGGGAAATGGGCGTGCGAAAGCAAGGTGAGAGAGAGAGCGAGGGAGAAGGAAAAACAGTTACGGGGAGAGAGAAAAAGGAGGGAGAAGGGAAGGGAGGCGCGGGAAGGAGCGATGCGGGGGACAGAGAGGAGAAGCTTTTGCATGCACGGCGCCGTCAACAAAAAAAGAAAAAAGGCACCGAAACAGTTACAGCTTGCTTCTATCCTAATTCAAAATTGAAATCATCATATCCGCGCGCGAAAAAGCGACGCGGGAAAAGAAAATCCTACGCCTATTCGTATTCGTGCAAAATTCCGAGAGTTTTCCCCGACGCGCCCAAGAACATTCACACAAAAAAGGACACGTCGAAGTTCTGCTTATCCCGGAATTCCCAACTACCAAGCCCAATTCCCAGTGCGCTCGCTAAGGCGCACGTAAATTCCCATGTATTTTCCGACTTTGCAAAAAGAAAACAGAACTCAGCAGTCGAAAAAGCTCTCAAAGGACTTTCTTTCCCTCGACTCTCTCCCTCTCTTTCTCTCTGTTTCTCTTTCTTTTTTGAATGATGATGCGTCTGAATGATTGTCCCTCTCTTGAGTAGGAATGAGTTGGYATCCTGCTTCTGTGTGAAAGACTTMTTYCGTAACTCTTCCATTAGTTTCCTGGGTAATCCTCCTACGYAAGGACCCCRTYTACTTGTCTTRTGAACGRTGRATGYRTGTGTATTGTGCAATGCGATCCATCTTTTCYCGTGCATGTCTCATTTTCGCACCTTCTACAGTGACTGCATGTATAGAGATGCGTGACTTTTTCGATTTGATTAAACAAGTGTCGTCGGGATTTTGTTCGAGAATGCAAGAGTGTTTAGATATGTAGCTCTGTTTGCACTGTGCATGCCATCTGCCTTATGATGCACGACATCAGCAGCCGAGCCACGAGGCGGCCCTGAGAAACAAGGCGCCCAATGACCAACCTTGTGTTGAACTGATCGGACCCGTAGCCATACTGATCTGTGATTGCTTTCTCTCTCTTGTGTCAAAAAGAATGACTGGGGGAYGCGCRAATCSCTTYTGTTCTTAATGAYGTTTCAKGATATTTTGTGATTSATTGACATGTGGACTGACAAGTACCCTTCGATTGGGCGCCAGCCTCCCGTATCTCCCATCCCAACACGACCTTTTCCGTACAGTGAGGAAAGGACAYGTGTATGTGAGTGGGACGTACGAGAAGCCRTKGSACAAATCGGCGGGCAGTATTACTTCCCTCCGGCCAACCGCTGTTCTGGGTTCGTAGAAGCCGGGTTTGTTATTATCGATACGCACTTCCCACCTTACTCGGTATTGTTGCCATTTAACGAGTTAATTTGTCATTCCATGGACGGCAGTAGAACCCCACTGGCCGCGCACTCTGTGCACCGAATGTTAGCGTTTTGAGCGCTACGAGTCCAGGGGTTTCCACTACCGTGTGCGGAGTGAAGACGAGCATAAAGAAAGAGCCATGCGACTGAGACCCTCCATGCCAAACTCGAAACTAACCAGCGAACGACGATGGGATTTGATACGAAAACGAGACACGCGAAGCGTGCCCAAGCCTTTCTGTTCTAAACGACGGGCTGTAGTCCGGTGAGAGGCACGACAATACTTTTTGGATTGAATTTGAGCCCTTCTCTCTCTTTCCCGCCTTGCCCGCGCGCTTATTCTACGACGCGCGAAACGATCGACTTGCTCCATCGGACCAACACGGGGGACTTCAGTTCCGTTTGTGTGCCCACACTCAATTCCCAAAAATTCTTGGCACACCCCATCTTGCTGTTTTCCTGGGCCTCTTTTCCGCACAGCTAACACTCCGAACGGAAGACAGCACAGGGCGTGAGGTTGGTATCGGCGCGTCACAAGCCGACGGTGTTTTTGAGAGTTTCAGTTGGGCGGCTCGTGCCCTACCTCGGCGCCAACCCCGCCATCGATGACAGGGAGCGATGGTCTCATCTGATCCACGAATCCTGGGGATCGGCTATGTCGGTTTGAGCCCATCTGAGGTAGCCTGCTAGGATTCCATGGTCAGCGCACGTAGCTGACGAGAAGACAGAGCTAGGTGAGGAAGTTACTCTGAACTTTGTACCGTAATAAGGCGAGTATGTGGTGACGACACCCTCCTTAGGGTTAAAAGGTTTTGGGAAGTCAACTCAAGGGAAAATAGATGACTTCAGGTAGTGTTCATCCTAGCTGACGTGGTTCCGGACTGAGAGGAAAGTCGTGAAGGGAGTTAGGGCCCCTGCAGTTAGAAGAGAACGGTTGTGTATGGGGAGGTGGGCAAGGTAGGGAAGTAAGAGGCGAGAGAAGAGGGAAGGGGACACCTTGCAGGAATATTCGCGGGTACAACTAATTGCAAAGTGCTACGGTATGCCCTTGACTAAGGAACGGGGAAAGCACCATCCGACAATTTCTGTAATAGTTTGAGACAGTAGGAGTGATCTGTGACTAGGAAGGAAATTCATTAAAATCGAAGGGAATATGGGTTGTTATTTGAAATATTCCAGAATTTAGGAAGGTGGAAGGCTGTGTTCAAGCTTCGTGGAGTTGGGGAATCGGCCCCGGAGGTATTAAGGTTGGGATATCCCGCCTTGCCCAGTTGGGTATTGGTCAGGGGTAGCGAGGTATTAGCCTTCGCGAACTCCTCTTTCACTCCATATTCCTAGATGAGTTTCACCCCACAGTGATACTTTTTCATCGACCTCCCCTCATGGGTTGTTTCCTTTTAAGTGGAGTAGACCTACAAGGGCAGGCGATTAGTAGCTGAAATACACAAAGGAAGGGGAGAACTAAGCTAGGCCATCCCGGGAAGGTACCTCGGATAGTGGAACTTGGAGTTTCAGGTCGATTTGCTAAGCATCACGGGTGTATTTGGACCGGGTGGGTACTTCCGGGTTCGTTGTCGTGTAGCCTATCTCCTTGATTTCCCCTTCGGTGATGAATAGAGTTATACTCTTGCCGAGAAGGTTTCATTTAGAAGAGAAGTGAGGAGAGTGGCCGTCAGATCTGGGCTGACAACCACCAGGATTTCTGGTCCCGTGCGGTGCAGCAAGGCGTTTGCACTTCAATCCTAGAGAATGGAAGTGGAAGGGGAGGAGCAAGGGGGGGGTGGCCAGAGGTCACCCCCACCTCGCCCCTCGGAAGTTAACTTCTGGACAATGGAAGACAGAGCTAGACGCTCTATTGGGCAGTGTTACGATGAAGGAGTGGTCCAGATGGTGGAGAATGTAGGAGAGGTGGTAGAGGACGAGAGGGGCAAGAGGTTCAATGTAAACGAATCCTACGACGCAATCAAAGAGAGGTGGTTAAAGGAGCGAACAGTTATATTCATTTTTCAAGATGAAGCAAGGGATTTGTCGAGAAGTGTGAAGGAAGATCTGATAAGAGCACACGAAGACGGGTGGATGTCGAGGAGGTTGTTCGACCCAAGTATTAGGAGAGGTAGAGTTAAGTTTGAGGGTCCGAATGTGATCTCGTATGTCGCCAAAGCAATAGAGGTGGCAACTTGGTTGGTTCAAAAAGCAACGATTAAGTTGGCGTTAAGAGGAAAAGAGTACTCTGTTTTGGTAAAACCGTGGATGACTAAGCCGGAGTTGAAGGAGCTGAAGCTGAGGGAAGCGGAGACAAATTTTTGGATTGTGGCACTACGGGTTCCTCTGGATGCTATGTGCTACCTGCCGTCGGCTGCCGAAGGTCTGTTCGGGGGTGTAAAGATGATGCACCCTCTGGAAGTAGATAGAGTGAAGCCGAAACTGATGAACATAAAGCTGGATATGGATCCTTCGGCAAGATTCAGGGTGGAAAACTCGCTGACTATAGAGTCTCCGAAGGGGGAATTGTGGACGGTAGATATTGCTACTCCTTACTCAGATTGGTGCAAAAAATGCAGATGGTATTTCCACACAGAGGATGATTAACCCAGACAAGGTAATGCAGGCCCTCGACGTAAGTAGACGAATTCTAGACTCCCACCACAACGGCCGTCGGTGAGCCAACAGCAGAGTCAAGAGCCTCGTCATCCTAACCCGGCTCCTTCCCAACAGCCAGGGGCCTCGCAGCAGCGGCAGTCGATGCCTCATACGGTGCAAAACGGACCTCAGCCAGGAGCCTCCCTGCAGCACTCCCAGATCCAGAGAAAAGGGGGCAGCGATCTTGGTTTGCAAGGGGGTTCCTAGGGCCCAGGGGGTCTGTTAATGGAAGCACAAGGGCCCTCGGCCCAGTCGGCCGCAGTCGAAGGGCACTGGTACTTGCAGGGTGCTCCTACATACCCTCCGCCGAATAGAAACTCTTTAATGGCCCCAGGGACCCCATGGGCACCCTGCGCCCAACCCTTGATGTGGGCGAGCACCAAGGAGATGGGCATGGCCCCCTATCAGGAGATATATCAGCAAATACCTTCAGGGGGACATCTGCAACATCAAGGCTGTTGCAAAGTACCAAGATGCCAAGCTGGTTACCTACAATCTACGGTTGTTAGATCTGTGCCAAGGAGAATACAGCACGTACACCAGGGGGTGTGGGAAACAGCACCCGAGGAGCTGCAGTTTCAGGGTCCCCAGAGGTCGATTCCTGCTCGGTCGAGACTTCAGGACCCAGGGGCGAATGGCCACAGCGTAGCGCAAGATAGAGATCTTGCCTATGGCTGGGGGGAGGACATTACGAGGCCCAGAAGAGAAGGCCGAGATGACGGGAGGAGAACTAACTTTGGTCTTTCATCCTCTTCTAGATCGAGAGTAATCATGGGTAGTGGGTTTGTGGGAGACGAAAGGGCACTGAGAGGCTCCGGTTTCCTCCAGGCGGAAGGATCGATGTCATCCACAGGAAGTTCGGGCGGCCCAGCAGGGAGAAGGGGCGGAGAGTCTGATACATCGAGTAAGAGAGGTTATAGAGCGGAGCAGAAAGATCCCCGTCCGATAGAGAAGAGGATGGTCCTATTGGTCTGTACCATAATAAACGGCACGGCCTTTTTCTTAGGAATGACTCAGTCGGACGGCAGGCCCTACCTCCCCTCTGTGGCTACAGACAAGACGCCGTTTCCTGGAGAAATTCTGACCAAAACGAAGTTTTTGTTTGGGGATGCTTTCCCTATTAGGATCATCCCCAAGTCAATGATGGTGAGCTGTCAGGTACCATTGGAGGGAAAAATCCTGAAATTCTACTTTCCGATTTTGGATGCTCAGCTGGATTCACACTTGGCGGAAGCTCTGACACAGGCAGGCGTCAAGTGGCTTCGCCTAGATGCGGTGAGGGAAGCAAACAGTCATGAGTTGGAGGCCATTTCCTTGACTCAGGAGGTAACTGCGCTACTTTTGCTGAGTGTGAACGAGAAGCTTCCAGATAGCTTAAACCTGCGCTCTAAGTTCCTGTTGACCTCGCTGACAAAAAACTGGCGGTCCTCTTCTCAACAGAGTCACTCTGGAAGCGGCTCCAGGCAGAGTCCCATGCATCAGTCTCCTGTGGAAAGCGTTTGGAGATGGGGAGACGACCAGATTGATTCTTGCATCCAATATCAAGCGATGGGAACAACTGTTGATGGTTAAGCTCAAGATAGGGACCTCGAACGTGAGAGGTTTGGGTGACACCACAGGGAGGGAGAAAAGGAAGCGGGTGAAGTCGTGGATATTTTTACAAAAGATGGATATTCTCTGTCTACAAGAAACGAAGTTGGGGGAAGAGAAGTTTAAGTTGGTCCAAGCTGGTGGGATGACCCACAGTTCTGGTCACCGGCACAGGGAACGAGGGGTGGCATTGCTATAATCTTGCACAGGAAGCTGCAAGAAGCTGTCGTTGATGCAGAAACGGATCTGTGGGGGCGATGGGCCTGGGTAAGACTGAAGACAGGACAGAAAGAATGGGTAGTTGCTACCGTGTATGCTCCATCGGACCCTACTTTAAAAGCAGTTTTTTTTAGGAACCTGCAATGGATACTTCCACAAGAGGAGAACCTGCTGGTTTTGGGGGATTGGAACCTCTCCCTAGACGAGGTTTTGGGCAGGAACTCTCGGGCAACAGGGAGGGGTGACACGGCGGCGCTGCTGGACCTGATCCAAGTAAGGGATCTGTCAGATCCCTTCCGCTGGCTAAATCCTGAAGATTCAGGTTATACCTGGTTTTCTAGTGTCCGGCAGGTGGGAGAGGACAGCGTGTTGGTGAGACGAAGACTAGATTATTACTTGGTGGGCAGGAGTCTGGCGCAATTTATCACGCAGGTCCGACAGATCTCTCATCCTCTATCGGATCATAAACCAGTAGTCTCAGATCTGGTACTGTCCGGAGCAGAGGAAAGAGGAAGAGGCTATCTTAAGTTAAATTCACAGAATTTGGAAGATCCCGGACTGAAGAATTGGGTACAGCGCCATATGGCGGAGTGGCAACTGGCTAGACCCTCCTTCACAACTACGGCCGAGTGGCTAGATGGGGGTATTGCTGTTATTTCTGGAGTGCTGAATGTCAGTTTCATAATATTGGCTAAGGAGAGGAACAAAGAGGAGGATCTCTGTAGGAGGTGGGTTGAGGAGGCAGAGAGAAGGATGGACCAGCACCCGATTTCAGAATTGGTATGGGCCAAGGAGAGAGAACACGGACTGGCTGATTGGGATAAGCTGCAAATGGAGAAACAACGTAGGTAGGAGGAGAGGTTGGAAGAGAAGGGGATAATCTCACATGATAGAATGACAAGGGACACGTTCCGGAGACTGTTGCCGAGCTCGACTTTTCAGCAGGTGGTGCAGTTGGACCACCCATTCGATCAGGTGGCTCGACAAGCCACCTCGAATGAAGACATGCTGAAATACGCCAAGCTGTATTATGCGGATATTCTTACGGCAAGAAGAATTCAAGACTCATTGGACACAGACCTCTCTTTAGAATCTGACATGTGGGAGGACACGGTGGTTAGATTAGATGTGCCCGACAGACTGGCTTTGGATAGACCGGTTACGGTGGAAGAGTTGAAGCAAATGTTGAAGGAGATGGCCTCTGGGAAGTGTCCGGGGAGAGACGGCCTTTCAGTGGAATTTTACAGGTCTTGCTGGGAAACACTGGGCCCCCCACTTGTGGAGGTGTTTAATGAGGTCCTGCAGGAAGGCAGCTTGGGAAGGGCCACGACACACGGGGTGATTTCGGTCATGTTTAAGAAGGGGGACAAGGTGAACATAAGGAACTACCGCCCGATCTCAGTGCTGAACGTGAGTTACAAAATCCTAGCCAAAGCGCTGGCTCTGCGGCTAGGTAGAATTTTCCCAAAGCTAGTGGAAAGGGATCAGGGTGCCTTCGTTCAGGGACGGTCGATCTTTGTCAACATCCTTACAGCAATTGAGAGCATTGAGATAATCGAATCGGAGCAGCTGGACTTTGCGGTATTAATGTTGGATATGGAAAAGGCGTACGACAGGGTGGGCTGGTCCTTTGTGCTGACAACACTGAGAAAGCTGGGATTTGGCCAGGGGTTCTGCAAATGGGTTATTGCAATGTACACCTGGGCTACCTCAGCAGTTCAAGTCAATGGCCACATGTCGTGTTCCTTCCAGTTGACAAGGTCCCTCCGCCAGGGCTGTCCGCTGACCCTCCTTCTGTTCGTCTTGCAGCTCGAGGTTCCGCTGAACAGGCTCCGGAGGCATCCACTCGTTTGGGGCCTACTGCTATCCAATGGTAAAGAGTGCAGAATGAAGGCTCTTGCGGACGACCTATTCCTGCTTTCAGGCAACACAACTTCTTCTCTACAGGCGGTAAAGGAGGTTTTGACCGAGTACTCTCTGCTGTCGGAGACTCTAGTGAACTGGAAGAAATCCACGTATCTGCTGCCGGAGGGGTTCAGGCTTCAGGTAGAATGGGGGATGCACAGAGTGGATCCTGAGACAGGCGAGCGTTTTTTGGGAGTCATGGTAAGTACTCAGTTGATGAGTGTCACACAAGGAACAATCTTGCAGCAAAGAATCTCGGCTAGACTTAAAGGGTGGGGTACAACGTGGCATCTCTCGCTGTTTGGGAGGGCCCTGGCTATCAACGTAGCACTRTTCTCTCTCATTTGGTTWGTGGGTGCAGTTAGGGAACTAGCCRCGASGGTAGTGAGGGAGATTCKGAGGGTAGCAAYGAGGTTCTTGTGGAAGCCCCGAGCGGGGTCGGGAGWGGGTTTCATGGTCAAGGTTGCATGGGAGTTGATCACATTCCCGAAGGAACGGGGCGGCCTAGGGCTGGTGGACATACATCGCAAGAATCATGCACAACTCAGGAAATGRCTATYGRAAGTAGCGATGGCAGAAGTAAAAGAGGACTGGATCTTACTGGCTGAGAGAATCTTGATGAGGGAGTGGCAGTTAACCAGAGCGGAGGACGTTTGGCTGTGTTTTTTTGTGAGGTCCTTTGCAAAAAAGAAACTGCATTCAGAGTTTTGGGACGCAGTTCGGAGGGCGTGGATTCAACATCCGCCAGAAGTACAGACTCCCTCGGCTACGAAAGAGGAGGTCCTCCACCAGTGCTTATTTGAGAACCAGTTTATCCGGGAAGAAGATGGATCCCTCCTACGGGCTGACTCTTCTCCAGGCTCATTCGGGAAAACTTGGATCCAAAGGGGAGTGATCTATGGTCCGATTTGCTGGGTAGTTGGAAAACTTTTAGTGAGGTCCATAGGTTGCTCCCGGGCTTGTGGCACTCAGAAGAGCACTGGAGGAGGGTTCTGCGGGCAATACCAGAAGAATGGAAAGCCCTACTGGGCCCTGAAGGGACGGACCCGGTAGGTACTTGGTACATCCCTCCGACGATGGAAGGAAGGGTTGAGTTATGGGAGTTACTGGGTATGACGAATAGCGGTTTTAGGGAGGTTTGCAAGTGGGTGGTAACTGATCAATCGGCAGCATTGGTTCCGGGTGAGGAGGAAACAGTCAGACAGTGGTCGAACCCTCCTCAAGCAAGGGTGATCCATAGGTTGAATCGGAGAGGGAGAAGGCTATCCTCCAGGTGGGTGGGCAAAGCCCCCCTCCGCTACTTGGCTATTGGCCCAGTGGCGTGGAGCTGGAAAGGTAGCACGTCAGGGAGTCCCAATGACCGGTCTATGGACCTTTCTAACTTCACAACGGGACTTTCCTACAAGCTGGCCGAGCGGAGAGGGAGGTCTCACGCGTCAGTGGCTGTTGCCAGATGGAGCGCAGTGCTGATGGAAGATCTACAAGGAAAGGAAAAGCATTTTGAAACCCTGTGGAGTACATTGCTGAATCTGTCGGACCTCAAACATGCAAGCCTTCTATGGATGTTGTTTCTGCTGGTTACTCCGTCTGCTGTTTGGCTTTGCAGCAGGGGAATGGAAACCGCTATGAACTGCACACGATGTTCTTGGCCCTTTGAGTCCACCAAACATTTGTGGTGGGACTGTCCCGCGTCGAGGAGGATTTGGAGGTGGTGGGAAGACCACTGGAGAAGATTTGGAGGGGAAGGGGTAGAGTGGAATGAAAGATGGGTCTTGCTGGGGTTTGTGGGGGATGAGCAGACAGGGTTGAAAGGATGGACGTATGTGGCTCACGTCGTTAGGGTTGTGATTTGCTCGGTGATATGGGCAGACAAAAATAGATCCAGGTTTGAACGTCGCCCATATTCGGACAGAGAGATCAAAGTCGGCATCAAACGGGGCATGAGGAGAGCGATCCAAGCAGATTGGCACAGGAAAGTCAACAGTGGCAGGGGTCCAAAGAGGAAGCTCTGGTGGTTTTTGAGGTCATGGGCAAAGGGTAACCAGCTGGCTGGAGTACATTCAACCAGAGGGTTGGTGCTTTCAAAGTGGCTTTATTCGGAGTAGTTTAGTCTGTTTTGTACATAGTTAGGTTCAAGGTAGAAGAGGGAGAAGGGAGCTAGGGGACCAGAGCACTCAGTCTGTAGGGGGGAGGCTAGAGAGTACTTAGGACAAACCTGCTCACTTGGTTGGTAGGGCCGCAGTGGGCCAAATAGTAACAGAGTGTGGGGTAATAAGGAATGTCCTTCCACTGGGCCGTAGAGGCTTGGTCGTCGTATTAGATGGTGTTGGGGGATTGGTATTTCGAGCTTCTAGTAGATAGACTAAGGTAGGAGATAGCAGCTGGGAGGGAAGTTTTCGACGGTATTTCGGATGCATGGTTGTCCAACAAGTACAAAGGTTTAGGCTGAAGCTCTGTCTGTGAGATTATGGTAAGGAAAGTTTATGGTAAATGAGCTCTCAGTTCTGTTGGGACCATAAGCGAAACTGGCTGATGCTGCCAGGATAAGCCCGGGTTGAATTGTGAGGTCCCCAGCCTCTCGTTGTCTGCTTTGATATAATCGTGATATGGTTTTTCTAAAAAAAAAAAAAAAAAAACAAGCTATGCACTCGCATGACGCGTTTTACATCTAGATACATTTGGGAGAGTGTGAACGTTACACTGCCAGACACTCAATGCTCCCTGTGTCCAACGGGGAGTCAGATCACGAAGTGCCAACGATCTTCTTCAGAAAAAGCAAAAAAAAAAAAAAAGGTGAAAGGGAAACCAAGCTATGCACTCACGTGTCGCGTTTTACATCCAGATACATTTGGGAGAGTGTGAACGTTACACTGCCAGGCATTCA